CTGCTTTACCGTTCCTAGGGTATGTGTAAGATTTTTTTCATTAACATTTTTTTAGGTTGTTTTTTTAAGACAAAAGTATCTCCAGCAGAAAAAAAAAATCCAAATATTCTGTTTTAAATTGTACAAATATTTGTGTTGAAACAGATATAGACAGCAGAATAATTGTTTAATGATTAAATTTGAAGTAGTTAGCCTGACATCCCAGCACGCACACAACCTCATAAGAGGATATTAGGTTAGATGTAGGTCGTGATGTCAGGTGACCAAACTTTAATGTCTAGCCAGCGTCTAAGGACAATGTTAATTTGACGTCAAATAACAACGTCAAATGATGTTGATATGTTGATTTTAGGTTGTGTAGGAAAGCTATCATCTAACCTAAACAACATCTAAACCAGGGGTCACCAATCTCGGTCCTGGAGGGCCCTGCAGGGTTTAGCTCCAACTTGCCTCAACACACCTGCCTGGATGTTTCAAGTATACATAGTAAGACCTTGATTAGCTTGTTCAGGTGTGTTTGATTAGGGTTGGAGCTAAAACCTGCAGGACACCGGCCCTCCAGGAATAAGTTTGGTGACCCCTGTCTTAAACCATGTCAAAAACTGACATTTATTTGTCAGAAATGGCAACCAAAATTCAACATCTCATGTGATGTTGGTAACATCCACACAAAACCAAGCTGTAACATCATTAGACACTGATATCTGGTTGATTTTAGGTTGGACGTTGGACATTGATGTCAGCCTGACGTTGAGTTCTGACGTCAACCCGATTTTCATTTCCAAACAAAATGCAACGCCCCCGCGATGTTGGGGTACAACATCAAGTTGACATCCTGTTCCTGCTGGGATGTTTACTGTTCCAAAATAGTTTTCCAGGTTTCTCAAAATAAAATATCTTATGTTCAAAGGGTAAAAAAGTTGTAGTTTTTTACCTGGAGTTGTAAAAAGATGGTATTTCAGAGCAGAAATCACAATACCGTGAAACAGTGATATATTTATCCAAGGTTATCACACCGTCAGAACCTTATACCGGCTCATGCCTAAATAAAAAAGTGAGTCAAATATTTTCAGTTACAAAACTAGAGGTTTAACTTGAATTGCTCCACCCATCTTGCCTTGGTTACCTCAGCAGAACATTTTAGAGGCAGTGGTGTCGAACTTAACACAGTCCAGCTTTCCAGTCTAAATTTAGTAGGGCAGTCCGTACCCAGAATAGGACGGCCCAGCCCAACCAGACTGCCTGCCAAGCTTTTCTGACAGACACACGGCGCATTAGACTGTCAACATCTCTGGTACACTGGGAGTACTGTCGCTCCACGCTGACAGGCACAACAGAGTCGTTCCTTCTGCACCACACTCTGTGTTTCCCCTTGGGCTGTCACTGTTCAGACCGCCGGCCTGTGGGACATTTCAGTTTCCTGTGGACTCAACAGCATGAAGAGCACCGTTGCTGTCTCTGTTTGAGAGCTATGAGTCAGTGTTGCTAATTCTGAAAGTCTAAGGTGGCTGTGCATAGAAAGCGAACATCGTAGAAAGATAGTCCCCCATGTGGCAGCCAGCTGGGGTGGGTAAAAATTTTGCTATGGTTAAAAAAAAAGTGAAGTGCTGCTATCAGAAAAGAAACTAGGCCCACAGACTTTTCCCCTCCATATCCTATATAATTAATTTGATAAGTTGATTTAAACTAGGGTTGGGCGATATCGATCAATTTGGCATTGTACGATGTCTAATGTGATGTACGACGTCTAACTTCAGTCTACAAAACGTTGATTTATTTATTTAAGCCAATGGGAGTTAAACATATTTTGTGCTTTGTTGTAATATTTACAACAGATACTTTTACTCTACTTGCACTACAGGTTTGGGCAAGTAATGGTACTTTTACTTGAGTATGATTTTTCAGTACTCTTTTTCCACCACTGTTTACAACCTTATAGCGCACAGCAGGACTGTCTTTAAAGGGTCACGAAACACCAAAACACATTTTTTGAGCTGTTGACAGTCGTATATGTGTCCCACACTGCTAAAAACACTATTAGGACACCTATATTTCACTAAAAAGTGTAAATTGGTTGTTTTTGCGTTATTTCAAGCAAATTCGTACTTCCGGTTTGAAACTAATTTTTGAAGCTGCGTCATGGACATGAGATAACAGCGTGTATTCCAGCGCGCAGACTGGATGTCTGTGCCAGAGTGTCTTATTACGTCTTACAGTTTGCTGCATTGATGCATGAGTAAGGCTTGGTTCAAACCAATCAGCGCGCTCTATTGTGCAACTTCATTAATATTCATTACTGTCACTGTGTTTAGACGACAGAGACACCACGTTGTGTTGGCAAAACAAGCGTGAAGTGTTGCTTTTATAGTTTGCTGCAGTTAAGTTTTGTTTTCATTTTCTCTCTGTGAGAGCGCAGCTGGCGTCACGTGTGGATTAACAGTGTACGCGACGCTCGACAACAATAACTAACGTGTCTAAGGAGGATTATCGTTTACCTGAGAGCTGTTCTCATCTGCAAACGCTGAAATCCGGATTCTCTTGTAGTCTCCTCTTAATAAAGACGCGGCTCTAGTTGCTGGTGATTGTCCTGTCTCTAAAGATTTGGTAAGTGAGCGACCAGTGCTCTTTGTTTATTCCGTTTGTTCGTATCGAACTAACAATTGCACCGAGTGTAAACATGTTAGCACCACATCAAAACTTTAACCTCGTGTAGGGTTTTCACCGCATTTTGTGACAGGAATAACACAGACGGCTTTCTGACACTACCTGCCGTGTGCATCTAAGTTTCCAGGAAATGCGGAAGGTTTTTTTCTCTCATTCGCCGTGCGGTATCAAACATTGCATGAAAAATACACGCTTAGAGCAGTTCCTCGAATCAAATATCACGTTTGTCGCGAGGGGTATGAATGAATTCCCTAAATGAAAGGGCCAAACTGCAGTTAAAGTCCTCCATTTAATAATTTAGAAAATAATTCGACTACAGATGTCCATGTAAACACAGTTACTTTCTCCCGTGTGTGTGTGTTTTGAGTCTGAAACTCACGCGTGCCCAAATACACACCCCCACACCATCCCACTTTAGTTCCTCCGACACTCCTCCCTAAACAGAGCTGGACACGCCCACTTTTCTGACTTTTTCCAAAGTAGAGATGTGAAAACACCCTGCTGAAACGAGACAAAACTTATTGATATGAACTTTTTAGGGTCGCTTTAGTACAATTTGTGGATGATAATGCACAATATGTGACTTTTTTAAAATAAATAATACATTTATGCAGTCATAAACATATTTTAACAGCTAATATGACAGTGATTTGATGCTTCATAAAAGTTGCAGACACCTTTATCAATATTAAAATGTTTTTGTAAACATCCAGTTATTCTTTACACCAATTAAAAAACTGGCTACTAAAATACTACTATAATAAGGAGAATCCGCTCTAACTGTAAAACTAAATGAATTGCTCTTGACACATGAAAGGGCCAAGCATGCAGCCCACAACAAGGTGTAAAGTTATTGCGTATCATATTTAGCAAACCGTTTATTGCGAATTTGATGTAATTTTGCTCACATGGATTACTGAACATTAATCAGATGATGTCATTACGCTGCTGTGCCGTCAGCCAATCGTTGCATTGCTGATCATAATTTCGAGGATCCATAGATCTGTCCTTCACAACACACACAGCAATCTCCAGACATTTTAATCTGATTCACGAACTTGTTTGAAGAACCAAATTAGCCACAAATCAGTTATCAAGATGAACAGATCCAGGATCTGCCAAATCATCTTAGATCATTTAAGCGAGCTACGAAGAACTGGACCCCTGGTAGTGAAAATGGCAGGCTACAATTAATTAATTTGTTATGAATTAATTGATATTTAACAACCCCACCCCCCCGCCTACGACGACGATGGCATCATCCATCGCTTTGTTTCATAATAGACATCGTACGATGCCAAATTGGTCAACATCACCCAATCCTACTTCCTACTTCTCTGTTTATCCAACTGACTTTACAGTGGGTTTCTTTTGATCGCTCCCTGTTGTTTTGAAGAATATCACTACGGCCAACTCGTCAAGTATAAGGGCGTACTCACACTATGTACAGTTGCCTTGAAGCGGGCCAAAGCAGGATTACGTCATCGATGCTGCGCTGTTCAGTAAGCGCTTTCGCTCAGCACAGTGGACATTTTTTTAGTAATATCGTTTTAGTCGTTTGATATGCGGTGACAAGCAGTCAAATATTTCGCCGAACAGATCAGCCACTTTTGACGCTCATAAACAACCATAGAGTACTCTCGCTGTAGGAATTAGGAGGTTTGCTGAAGGTGCAGCTGTCGTGCAGTGAGGGGTTTGCGTCTTTAATAATCAATGACAGTTTGCATTCACTCAACAGTAAGAATGATTAACTAATCCATATGAAACAGTCCCTTAAAATTAACGTCTTGCTTTCAGTTTCGGGCTTTAGAGCGTTTGCACTCACACACAAGCGTACCGTGCAAATGAACCGTGCCTGAGCACAATTTAGAGCACACACACTTCTCAAACAATCCGGGAAATGGGCCTGGGCATGGTTCGGATAGCATAGTGTGAGTAGGCTCTAAAAGCCTTGTCTATTTCACGAGGTGCATGCACAGTCAGCAGAGTTTAGCGACGTGGCGGAAAGTATAAATCAGCCTTTAATCTCTTAAAATCAATAAAGCGCTTTATTTCATTTGTATCTTTGCTCTAATGTGTTTATCTATGCAAGTAATTTGTTTATTATTACTAATGCAGATACACTCCCCTACAAAATCATCCCAATCATTGTAAAATTATGAATTGTTTCCAAAAAGAGCTCAAAATCAACTGGCGAATCTGTATTTTTAATTGCAATATATAATCTCAGAGCACCAAAACATTGCAAAACCTCAAAGTATCATGCAGCCCTACTGTACAGCTTTAAAAAGAGCTTTGTTTTCTGAGTAATCTTTAGTAACACTCATTGTTTCTACCTGTTGCTGAGAGTACTGCATTCCTCCGATGCCAACTTGCCCACGGCCCTGCATTCCCATTGGATATCGGTGAGCAGTGGGTGATCCGTATGGCTGTCCGGCATAAGTTCCTTGCTGGGAATAGGGATTGTTGCCCATCCCATACATCTGAGAACGCTTCATGGTCATAGGGTCCATAGTTGCCACCTGTTGAGAGTGATGTCAACACTTTAGCATGAGGAACATCGACGGTGATTTCCAATGTAAGGCAGTCTGTGTGAACACATTTATGTGACTATTATGGCTGAGCAGACTGGAATACAAATAGTAATCATAAGGTTGAGCGCCTCGGTAAATGGAGAGATTCAGGGCAATGTGCCATCGACTGATATTGGGGGGTGAGTGGGGGGTGGGTTCAGGTTTTCTCTCAAGTGTCTCATCTTTGCCAGAAAAGACTGAGAGCCATCCAAGCTAATCTTCTCATGTCACTGCCAAATTCAGGCCAATTGAAGCAGCACTTACAGAAAATGTGACCAATTTGAGAAAGCCTGGGAGGCCACTATAAATGAACATTTTAAGCGTCAGCAGTCACGCCAGAGTGCTCTGCAGTCACGCGCACACACATTTACTCTGACTAGACAACTATATTGTCAAAATGCTCAAGTTCAGGGGTTTTCAAAGTGCGAGGCGTGCCTCCCCTGGGGGGCGCCAGAGCATGTCAGGGGAGGCGCTGGAAAAAATATTATATAATAAAAATATAATTATTAAGTTTAATTATTATATGTACTTTTTTATTATATTTAAACGATTTAATTAAACAAAGCTAAAAAAATAATACGTCAAAAATAAGAAAACCTTTTTTAAACAGAAGACTATAGCTGTGAATTCGCTTCTGTTTGGCAAGCCCGCCAATACAGGTATATGCCTGCTAATACAATGGATGGGTTTCTGAGACCCCCCCGATTCAAAGCCTTCAAGTTCAGGGCTTAAACCCAAAAGACAACGATATGAATATGATGATCAGTATTTGAGTTAAGGATTTACGTGGACAGGACCAGCTGATGAACCACGACCTTTAAGTGTGGTTTGTCAAGATATTTTGGCTAATGACAGCATGAGACCCGCTAAACTTCGCCTGTTTTGACTGGGGTGGACAATTCTTGGATCTGTTCTATTCATATTGAACCATCATCCTAGTTTTAAAAATGTTATATTATAATACTTGTTATTACTCTGTAAATAATTGCACTTTCATGCAAATGATGATAAAAGTGAGTTAACAGTCTGACATCTGTCTGTGTCTTTATATATACTGTATGTATATATATATATATATATGTGTGTGTGTGTGTGTGCGTGCGTGTTTGGGAGGAGGGGGGCGCCAATGGATAAGTTGTGTCAAAAGGGAGGCCCACTGTCTTAGACTTTAAAAAAAACCCTGCTCTAGTTAAAGGAAATGAAGGCATCAGCCAATCTCATAAGTTATTTTTGTTAATGGTTATTATTCGTTGAATGTTTATCTATATAGTGCTATCTATACAGTTAGTTTCTATAGTGTTGTCAGGATTTCATAGTACTGGAATTTTTAACTTTGATATGATACCTTAAAAGATAACAGTACCATTTTTAATATACACACCTCTCACACACACACATCCATTGCTGCTGAGTATTGTTTATATGGTGCTACCTTTATAGTATAGTGCTATCTCTATAGTGTAGTGCCATCTCTATATAGTGCAGGGGTGGCCAACCCTGTTCCTGGAGAGCCACCTTCCTGCAGATTTCAGTTGCTACCCAATGGCTTCAACATCGCAATGTTTTACATTAGACATCGTACGACGCCAAATTAGCCGACATCTCCCAACCCTATATGATACCTTGAAAAATATCAATATCCCATACCATTTTTGATATACACCCCTCACACACACACACATTCATTGCTGAGTCTTGTTTATATGGTGCTTTCTCTATAGTGTAGTGCTATCTCTAAAGAGTTATCTTTAGTTTGTTTCGATAGTGTTGTCACAAGTCATGAAGATGTTAGAATTTCAAACTTTAATATGATATCTTGAAAAATATTGATATTCTATACCATTTTCAATTTATACACCGCTCACACACATCCGGTGCTGAGTATTGTTTTTATATGGTCCATGTAATCAGTCTTGGTGCGCTTAAGCTGTCTGTGTGCTGTGTGTAATCAAAAAAGTAAACTGAAACAGGTGTGTGACTGCAGGGCGTGATGGGAAATGTAGTATGTGGTGTTCTCCAGCGATTTCACGAAGACTACACAGGCGATCACAACAATTGCATTCCACCATGTGCACCATTAGATCATACAGGATGAATCTGTAGTAAAACAATGGAAGTCTCCAGGGTCTTACTCAAGATACGGAAGACATTTACGTCATTAATAATGCACCTAATATGTTATAACCATAAGCCATTTTCATGCCTAATGTATTCCTAACAGACTTCTTTAGTGCACTACGTTAATGTCCATAATTCAATCAGCGAATAGGAATGCAAGATCATGCTATACTGTAAAAAAACAAGTCACCGGTAAATGATTTTGTTGGCATATTGTGCAGAGGAGGGATGTTATTCGTGAATTATAAGAGTATATTCTTGCTTTACAAAATGGGAATTCAAATATTAAGGACACATATTCAGTAAGATATTTCAAGTAAATTCATCATTCACAAGTATCTGGTGTTTTTATTACAGAGGTAGGTGATCACTGCAAGGTTTCTCTATTCATAAGCAGCACGTTAATTGTGAGGTAATGCTCAGACTAGATGCTTAATTACTACTTAATTTGTAACTAACTGAGAACACTGCTTGCACCATTTTTCACAACTGAGACTTTAAACTATGCAACTATTATTATATAAACTATTTGCTAAAAATTTAGATTAAAATTAGATTGTTGATAATTTAAAATTGAGCATTTTTACACCGTTTATTTGAACATCTAGGGCTCTATTTTGACGGTCCATGCGCAAAGCGCAAAACGCAGGGCGCAAACGCTTTCAGGGCATGTCAGAATCTACTTTTGCAAATTTAAGAACGGAAAAATCCACTTTGTGCCGTGGTGCATGGTCTGAAAAGGGTTGAGTTTATTTTCTTACTGAGTTATACGTGTGTTTTGAGAATAAACCAATCAGAGTCTCATCCCCTATTCCCCTTAAGAGCCAGTTGTGTCACGCCATGGCACATTGCTATTTACATGACGTAAAGTAAATATAAGTGGAAAATCTGAGCATTTCACTAGCAAGAAAACAGTTCAACAGAGCATCTGCAGCACGAGAATGAGAGATAAGGCATCTCATAATCTAGTTTCGCTTTTGCTCTCGTGGATAGGGAAACCTTGTACGCATAGACATCAATTAGTCTATAAATAATTAATTTTGTTAGTTATGCGCAAAGATATTTTTCAAAACTTTTTCTAAATTCAGTTCTAGTTTCCAGCAAACGAATAAATGAACAATAATAACGAAGTGTGCTCAAAAACCTGAGTTATATCCTAAAACACATGCTGTGCCCCATATGGTCTAAAACCTGACAGGTGGGCAAATCTAAGCTTGTTTTTAATAAAACAAATATAAATATGGATATAATAAATAATACTGCTAATAATAATAACATTATACAAAAGCAAATTGAATGAACTTAAAAAGCCTCCTGAGATGAAGAAGGCATGAAAGCAGTGGTTTTTAAATTCATGTAGGCTAGAAAACAATATGTTTTGTAATATTTTAATCCTTTATATTTGTATCCTATAAATCCTTATTATATCCTATATTATTTCCTATATATATATATATATATATATATATATATATATATATATATATATATATATATATATATATATACACTTAATATTTTAATTCTTTTTCATATGTAAAGATATTTGTGTATTGCTCTACATCTTGTGTGTATTAAGCAGTGTGTAAGCCAGGCACACTCTGCGCCGGACTTTAGACCGGCTTTGTTCTGGTCTAAAGAACAGACTATTATATTTTCTCAAAATAGCATCGCGCCAAAACACACCTGCATTTTAGACCAGAACGCCTATGGGCGCACATATGACCAAAAATGCATTTGCTATTTAAACATCGAGCTGCAAAACGTCAAAACGACTCTTGCGCCGAGCTGAATTTTTCAAATAACAATTGCATCGCGCCTTGCGCCACATTGCGTGTATGATAGTGCCCCTAGTGTTTAATTATATAAAATATACAATAATTTTTTGCTATTGTTTTAGTATATAAAAAAATTCACTCAGTGTAAATGCACAATAAACTGTAAATGATCATAAAGTATGACCTGTTAAATATATAAAATATTATTCATGTTATTAGGGTCAGTAATTTTTTGTAAATTTATTATAAAGAATATATTAGATCAAAAGTGAAAGCAAAGATCTTTATTATGCTCATGATGTTTGCAACATTATAATAATGTTTATAATACTACTTTACTTTGTGTTTATATTAGACTACTGCTTGTCCTTCTGAACTTATTGGTTTAACAATTTTTTTTCTATTCAAATGTATGTAAAAATGTACTAAAATATTCAGCAAAATTCTAAATTATCCTTTAACGGCAGAATAAAAAACGTCTAGATTTTTTTTTTTTTTTTGAACAAATAAAAGGATACAACTGGGGCTGGAAATACAACTGAATACAGAAAAGAATACAGTAAAGAATACAACTGTACATGTAATATGTTTAAATATTTGTAAACAAATAAAAAATGTAATAAAATAGCCATTTTAATTAATTTTATTCTAAATGATTAATCTAAATCTAATCTAAAACATAAAAATTTATATAAATTCAAAATTTTGATTAACCATATGCAAAATGGATCACAATCACTAAATAGCCGCCTTTGAAGTTTCTTTACTTTTTTAAATATTTCCCAAATTATGTTTAACAGAGCAAGAAAATTTTCACAGTATGCCTGATAATATTTTTTCTTCTGGAAAAGTCTTAATTGTTTTTTTTTTTCAGCTAGAATAAAGGCAGTTTAAATTTTTTTAAAACCCATTTTAGGGACAAAATTATTAGCCCCTTTAAGCTTTTTTTTTTTTCGATAGCCTACAGAACAAACCCTAAGCCTTTAAATGTCACTTCAAGCTGCATAGAAATGTCTTAAAAAACCTCTAGTCAAATATTATTTACTGTCATCA